TCCGACATATATAAACTATATGAATGCAAATGTACCAAACACATTCGAAGAGGCGATAGATAGTGATGAATCAAGAAAATGGCAAAAGGCGATGAACTCAGAAATAGTTAGCTTAAGAAAGAATGACACGTGGAAAACTGTTGAAAGACCGAAAGATAAAAGGATTCTTGGTGTTAAATGGATTTATACAAAGAAAAATGGCAATACTTATAAAGCGAGATTAGTTGTGAAAGGTTATCAACAGAAGGAATATATTGACAACGTGTATTCCCCAGTGGGAAAAATGCAAACTTTGAAAATTGTCTTATCATATTGTTGCAAAAATAATTTATTTATAGAACAAATGGATGTTAAGACGGCATTTTTAAATGGTCAAGTAAAGTCTGAGGTATATATATGTGAGCCTAGAGGCTATGAAACTGGTAAAAATAAAGTTTGCAAATTACAAAAGGCCCTTTATGGGTTAAGAGAAAGTCCCAGAGCATGGTATGACTGTTTTCATAAGTTTGTAGAGAAGATGAACTTTATAAGAAGTAATTACGATTATTGCCTATATATTAATAATATAAACAAGGATCCAATATATATACTAGTTTTCGTGGATGATTTGTTAATAGGTTGCAACAATAAAAACAGAATAAACGAAACAAAAGCAAGCCTGATGGACAAATTTTCAATGAAAGATTTAGGAAAAATAGGAAGTTATATAGGTATAGATATCGATTATAGTGATGATAGACGTAAGATGACATTAAGCCAATCAAAATACATTGAGTCATTAGTTGCGAAATACAATTTAGAAAATGCCAAGGTATATGATACTCCGATGGAAACAAACTTGAAATTAACGCAAGCTAGTGAAATAGATGAAAACATAAAATACAGAAATTTTATAGGTGAATTACTATACATCAGTACAGGCACGCGACCAGATATAGCCTATAGTGTAAATTATCTAAGCCGATACCAGACTTGCTACAGTGCAACACACTACAAATATGCGATGAGAATTCTGAAGTATTTATATAAGACCAAAGACTTAAAGTTAACTTACTATGACAACTTAGCGAATGAAACGTTAGATTGTGTGGTAGACTCAGATTATGCAGGTGATAACGTAGACCGAAAATCTACGACAGGGTTTATAATTAGAGTATATGGAAATTTTATCTATTGGAGAACTCATAAACAGAGTACAGTAACTAAATGTTCAACCTTTGCAGAATATACTGCTATGTCAGAAGCTGTGACAGAAATATTATTTATAAGAAATTTATTAAATGAATCCTTTAATGTAAAATTAGATAAGGCAGTAAAAGTATACGAGGATAATTCAGGTGCAATAGCGATTGCAAAGTTTGGAAATTTTACGAAAACATCCAAGCATATTGAAGTGCAGTATCATTCCATAAATGAGAATTATGAAAAAGATATTATTGATGTTATAAAAATCGATACAAAATTGAATTTGGCTGATATGTTGACAAAAAGCTTAGATAAAACTAAATTTTTGAGAAATAGGATAGTGCCGAGATTAATTTAAAAATAAAGTTTAAAACCTGAGTAAAGCGTACGGAAACGACACTAATCAAAATTGAACGTTCATGTGTAATTGAAACACAGTTGATTATGAAGGGATCGAAATTATAAATTTAAGGAGGCGTGTTGGAACGTATGTAAATGTGATAGTCTCGATCTATGCGCCATCTGTAAAGGAGAGAGGTGTGTGAGTAAGGAGGTCGTGCTGGAAAGAATATGCGTGGGAATAATCATAGTATTGTAATTAAGTTTGTTTATCTCTTATAATAGATATATTAGTTGAATAGGAAAGTGAGAAATCTTATTTATCAACCACATCCCGGAAAATCCCAATAGATAATTTGTCAGGTAGTTAGTTAGTTTGCAGTTAATTAGTTAGTTAGTTAGTTAGTTTGTCAGTTAGTTAGCTAATTTGCAGTTAGTTGGTTAGTTTCTTAGTTAGTTAGTTATTTAGTTTGTTAATTTGTCAGTTAGTTAGATAGTTTGTTTGCAGTTAGTTAGTTAGCTTGCAGTTAATTAGTTAGTTTGTCAGTTAGTTAGATAGTTTGCAGTGAGTTAGATAGTTTGCAGTGAGTTAGTTAGTTAGTTAGCTTGTCAGGTTCATAGTTTCTTTGCTTTTGGTTAATTAGTTTGTCTGCATTTAGTTAGATAGTTAGTTAGTTTATTAGTTTGCTAGTTAGTTTGTATCCAGTTAGTTAGTTCGTCAGTTACTTAGTTAGTTAGTTTGTTTGTCAGTTAGTCAGTTAGTTTGCAGTAAGTTAGATAGTTTCTCAGTTAGTTAGGCAGTGTGCAGTTAATTAGTTAGTTTGTCAGTTAGGTAGTCAGATTACAGTTAGTGAGTTAGATTGCAGTTAGTTGGTTAATTAGTTAGCTTGTTTGTCAGTTAGTTAGTAAGTTTGCAGTTAGTTAGTTTGTTTTTCAGTTAGTTTGTTAGTTTGTCAGTTAGTCAGTTTGTTTGTCAGTTAGTTAGAAAGTTTTAAGTTAGTTAGATAGTTTGATAGCTAGTTATTTAGTTAGTTAGTTAGTCTCTCAGTTAGTTTGTCAGTTACGTAGTTAGTGTGCAGTTAGTTAGTTAGTTTGCCAGTTAACTAGTTAGTTTGTTAGTCAGTAAGTTTGCAGATGTTAGCTAGTTTGTTAGTGAGTTAGTTTGTCAGTTAGTTAATTAGTTTGTCAGTTAGAGAGTTACTTTGCAATTAGTTAGTTAGTTTGCAGTTAGTTAGTAAATTAGTTAATTAGTTTGTCACTTAGTTAGTTACATTGCTGATAGTTACTTCGTTTGCTAGTTAGTTGGTTAGTTAGTTAGTTTGTCAGTTAGATAGTCAGTTTGCAGTTAATTATTTAGTTTGTCAGTTAGTTAGTTATTTAGTTAGTGAGTTAGCTAGTTAGTTAGTTTGTCAGTTAGTTAGTTACTTTGCAGATAGTTAGTTAGTTGGTTAGTTAGTTAGTTAGTTAGTTAGTTGGTTCCAGTTACATAGATAGTTTGTTAGTTAGTATGAATTTAGTTATTTAGTTAGTTAGTTAGTTAGTAAGTTTGTTTGTTAGTTAGTTATTTAGTTAGTGAGTTCACTAGTTAGTTAGTTTGCAGTTAGTTAGTTAGTTTGTCAGTTAGATAGTTTGTTTGAAGTTGGTTAGTTGATTTGTTTGATAATTAGTTATTTAGTTGGTGAGATTTCTCGTTAGTTAATATGCAGTTAGTTAGCTGGTTAGTTAATTAGTTACATAGTTTGTTAGTTAGTTAGGTAGTTAGTTAGTCAGTTAATTAGTTAGTTATTTAGTTAGTTAGTTAATCTGTTAGTTAGTTAGTTTGTTTTCATTTAGTTTGTTAGTTAGTTAGTTTGTCAGTTAGCTAGTTATTTCGGCAGTTAGTGAGTTAGATTTTCAGTTGATTAGTTAGTTGCCAGTATGTTACTTAGTTTGCAGTTTGCTAGGTAGTTTGTTAGTTAGTGTGTTAGTTAGTTAGTTAGTTAGCTAGTTACATACATAGTTAGTTTGTGAGTTACGCTGGAAGTTTGCTAGCTAGTTTGTTAGTTAGTTAGTTATTTAGATTGTCAGTCAGTTAGTCAGTATGTTTGCAGCTAGTTAGTTAGTTTATCAGTTAGTTAGTTAGTTTGCAGTTAGTTAGGTAGTTTGCTAGTTAGTTTGTTAGACAGTTAGTTATTTAGTTTGTCAGTTAGTTAGTTAGTTTGTTTTCAGCTAGTTAATTAGTTTGTCAGTTAGTTAGTTAGTTTGCAGTGAGTTAATTAGTTAGTTAGTTTGTCATTTAGTTAGTTACTTTGTCAGTTACATAGTTTGGTTGCAGTTGGTTAATTAGTTAGTTTGCAGTTAGTTAGTTAGTTAGAGTAGTATAACTAGGCGGGTTCTAGCCAATGGGACAATATGGGGAGCGCGGGTGGGAGGGAAGTGGTGCCGCGCGGGGTGTGCGACGCGTGGAAACCTTGGTGCCGGGCCTGCGGGGAGTGGAAAATTGGTTGCGCGCGCACGAGCCGCGGAGTGGGGAATGGCGCAATCGTGGAGGGGATTAGTCCAGGACGAGCCGCCGCGGAGACCTCTCCAGACCTGTCCCAACGTTGGAAATTTTTTCAGAGGGAGGGAGGGAGTGATACCCCAAAAACCTTTTTCAGATCCCGATCCACCACCGGAAATTTTTTTCCGAGGGAAGGGATAACCTTGGTCCACCCCCGCATCGATCTAGCGAATCAATATGTAGCGAATCACTGCCGCACCGATCGGAGAAATGGCATTGATATGCAATATTTGCAATTGCATTTATTCTGAAGCAAATCATTTTTCAAAATGTTTTTTTCAATCTTAACGTCGCAGCGTATCGCGCGATCGCATGTAATTTGAATCCCCTAGAGCAGCCGCGCCGAATGACATCATTTTAGCAGTGTGAATAACACACGAATGATATATGATACGTGTTGAAGTCAAACGCGTCACAGTCGAGAATCATAGAAAGAATTATGCTGTGTCGATAGAAATTGATGAGGAGAGTTAGAGGAAGATGGGTAAGTAAATGGAGAAATAATAGGATTTCTAATTATATATTGTTACATATAAGAATATAGAAATACAATATATATGAAAAATTAAAAAAAAGATAAAAAGAAAAAAATAGAATAAAAAGAAAAAATATAAAATAAAATTAAATAAAAATATTGTAGAATCAAGCCGGTCCGCCTTTTCCACTCGCTTCTATTGCTCTGCTCCACCGATCACATTCACCTAATCTCTCATATACACACACACACACGTACGCCCTGAGACAAAACCTACACGCATTCTGCATTCGTCTTCGCAACCTGGCAATCGATTAATCTATTTACTCGGTATGAACAGCTGACTTCGACTCCGGTCATAGCAATCAATTGACGCCTCACGCACTTTCACAACAACACACTCACATTCACATCCCCACACTCGGCCATCTTGCATGATATCTGCCCTCAGATATCCATTGTTCATTCTTCACCTGATGAGATATCACTAGCTTCATTAACCCACGGTTTCATGTGTTCCGCCAAAGTCGATGTCTGCTGCGGACCTTCGTGCTCGCCCACCTTACACACAATGAAACGATCATTCCTTAGGATTCTTTCAACTCGATACGGACCTAAGAATTTGGACGCAAATTTCAAACCCGGGCCGTACTGGGTTCTCTTTATAGCAACCAACTCTCCCTCTTTGTATTGCCGAGCTTTCTTTCTATGTTTATCGTATCCGCGACGATTTTCACGCTGAATCTTCAAAATATTTTCCTTAGCTTGATTCCGCAGCTCTTCCTTGTTACTTTGAAACAAATCAATCCATTCCTTCTCTATTAACTCACGAATATCCCGATTATCCTTCATTCGTGGGTATGTCCCAAACAGTAACTTAAACGGCGTTGTACCGATGCTCCTATGAGGTGTTGCATTTAAAAATTTCTGCGCAATATCCAAATAGCGATACCACTCTTCCGGTTTCGGTGCCGACAACTTTGTCACTACTGGTATTAGCGTTCTGTTTACACGCTCCACTTGACCATTAGCCCTTGGCATTCCCGCAGTTATTAAAATTTGTTCTATCGCTTCCAATCTACAATATTCCCGAAAATCATGAGAAGTGAAAGCTGTACCCTGATCAGAGATAATTCTCCTGGGATTTCCAAAAATTGACGATTGTTTTTTCAAACGTTCTATCACTTCGGAGGTAGCTGTAGTCTTCGTGGCATACAGCCACACAAACTTCGAAAATGCATCCACAACTACAAAAATATGCTTATAAGTCTTTCGCGTAGATGGAAGTGGTCCAAGATGGTCAATATGATATGTGTCTAATGGCACATTTCCCTTGTCAATAGAATGTAAAAATCCTTCGTGTCTCCCATGTTTCCTTTCAGCAAGAATACACGGAACACAATTACGCACCACTTTCTCTACTTTTGATTTTAAATCTGCGAACCAATAGTCTTTCCTAACTACTGTCTCCGTTTTCGCACTCCCGATATGACCGTTCTCGTGTACACGTCGAATGATTTGCGATTACATAATACGCGGCACTATTAATTTTACGTCACTCTCAATTTCTTTAAATAAAAGGCTATTCCGCACTACAAACCCACTTAACTGTTTTTCATTCACTGCTTCAACAATCGGTTTCAAACTCTCATCCTCACACTGCGCTTTACGTAACCTCACAATCATACTATCCTCACATTCGTCTACTAACATACACTTTGGAAGCGGATTCCGGCTTAACGCGTCTACATGTCTTAAACTATTTCCCGAACGGTGCTCTATTTTATAATTAAACTCCTCTAATAAAAGAGCCCATCTCGCAATTCGAACGCACAAATCTCTCTTACGCATCATTAATGTAAACGCCTGACAATCTGTAACTATTTTAAACGGTATACCTAACAAATATATTCTAAATTTTCGTAGGGCTTTAACTATTGCCAAAACCTCCAGCTCATAACTAATATATTTCGATTCTGCTGGTGTTGTTTTACCGCTTGCAAAGTATACTGGATTGTTAGGGGGAGTAGGTTTGAAAAAACCTCGCCTAACGGTGGTCCGGATCGTGAGGGAAGGAACGTCGGGAAAAGAATACAGATTTCAATTTAATTTCCGCTTAGCCGAATGTCTCGACTAAGCCGTTTATTTTGATAAATTGTGGAAACAAAAAACTTCTGTAAGAAATTGTCTGCCCGGCCAGACGCCGCTGCAGTTAATCCTGTTTTGTAAATCTGTAACAGAAAGAGACACGAATAGGCGTTAAATACCTGACAACGTGACTCACGTCGGATGTCTTTCTCTTTCGCGCTCGCGCCTGGTTTGTGCTTGTCGCACCCAGGAGCGGGGAACTCGACTCGGGTCGGAATGTTCGAATTACATATTCTTTTATGCAACTGCTGAGCGTGTTCGTATACCGAAGTGCTCGTGGCAGTGGTTTGATAGCGAGTGACGGACGAGCACGAGCTGCCAAAAGTGAGCGCGTGAGGGGGGAGAGTCTTCCGTCACGCGGCGCTGTCGCCGTGTCTCTCGTCCGTCTCTGTCTATTATATAGTTTTCGTACCTTCTCTAAACTCGGGCGTTTAAACCGCTTGTTTCAAAATTGAACGTTAATTAATCGTTCGCGTGACTTTGCGGAAAACCTCGAGAACCGTGTTTTTCTGTCCTCTAATATTTTGAATAGCGGACGCGTCGACCTAGAATCTTCCTGGTCGGTCGCGTAACCGAAAACAAACCGGGTAACGAATTGTTTCGGATTTAAATTAAATTTCGCATTTTACTCGATATTTAAACATACCGCCCCCCTTGCACGGTCCGTGCAACAAGAATTGGAGGCGTAGGTCGCAGTCACGTCGCGTAAAGCCCGTAGAGAAGGTAGAAGTACAAAACTTTCTATTGTAAAAGTTTAACTGTACTTACTCAGCGGCGTGCCTGGGCCCTTCGTTTATCCCGTGTGCGTCTTCGCCGGCCGTTGTCGATGTTGACTCATCGACGGGCAGTTTACACAACCGTGTAATCGGACGTGTGTATGTAGACGTAACTGTACGTACTTTAACTACACGCACGCACCTGTCTCGGCCCGGTAATACTTCCTCGATTCGTCCCATTTCCCATTGATTCGGGGGGAGAAGAGGGTTTTGCACTAAAACCAAGTCATTCGGTTTTAACTGCACTTGGGTGGTGCGCCACTTATAGCGTTTCTGGAGGTGCGTGAGATAATCTCGCGTCCAATGTTTCCAGAGCTGCTCGTGGAATTTCTGGACCGCTCTCCATCGCGTAAGCCGCGAGAGCTTTTCCTTTTCCACTGACTCGACCGGAAGTGCATTCATCGGTCCGCCTATTAGGAAGTGGCCCGGCGTGAGAGGGGCATAATCCTCGGGACAGTCACTCAAAGCGGCGATCGGTCGCGAATTCAAACTCGCCGCGATCTTGCAGAGGAGTGTCTGCATTTCCTCGCTTGTGGGTGTAAATTCGCCGAGGATGCGTTTCAGGTGATGTTTCACCGATTTCACGCCGGCTTCTTGCATACCACCAAAGTGGGGCGCACTGGGTGGATTAAACCTCCACTTAATGCCCTTTTGACCGCACTTCGTTCGCATTTCTGGGGTTTGATACACCGTATTGAAGTGTTCCTTCAATTCCCGATCTGCTCCGACGAAGTTCGTTCCGTTATCACTGAACATGCAGGACGGAACTCCTCGGCGGGCGATAAATCTGTCTAATGCGGCCAGAAATGCACTCGTCGTATAATCATGGACGAGTTCGATGTGCACGGCTCTCGTAGCGAAGCAGATGAACACTCCTATGTATGCTCTATGAGCCGTTTTCCCACGACCGGCGGAGTCGCGGACCCGATACGGTCCCGCGTAGTCGACTCCGCAGTTTGAGAAAGGTCGTGCCGCGCGACTGCGCTCCGGGATTAAATCCTGCATAATTTGCGTGGAGGTATTTGCTTGCCATCTCACGCATCGTATGCATTGGTGGATAACCGTGCGCGCCGCGTTTCGGCAGCCGATGATCCAGAATTTCTGTCTCACCGTGTACATGGTCAATTGTAAACCCCCGTGCAACGTATCCACGTGGCATTGCCTGATTATCATGTTAGACACATGATGTTTCGGCAGGATAATCGGGTGTTTGGTTTCCCATGCAAGCGTCGCATTCTCCAACCTTCCACCCACTCGTAAGACTTCCTTATCGTCGAGAAAAGGGTTTAGGCTCTTTAGAGGAGATGTCGCAGGGATTCCCTTGCGCTTTTTCAAGCACCGGTACTCTTCTGCGAAATGCGTACGCTGTAAGTAGCGTGCAATTCTTTCCGTTGCACGCTGGATTTCCGCTGCTTCGACAACTTTTGCATCGAATGACCTTCGTTCTCCGACCGCCGGCCTCCGGAACCGGAGGCAATAGGCAGTCACACGTTGTAGCTTACTCCATTGGGAAAATCGGAAAACTAAGTTCCATTCCTTTTCCGGAGTGGCCACGAGGGTATGCGATACGCGTTTACCCTCCTCGGTCTCGAGCGAGGCTGGCGATTTCGGCCAATTTTCCTCTGATTGTCGAAGCCATTTCGGCCCGGAAATCCATAATTCGGACTGAATGAGTTCTGCGGCGTCTACACCTCGCGAATTCAGATCCGCTGGGTTGAAGCGCGTGGGAACGTGCCGCCATTCAGCTTTTGGGAGCATGGTCTGAATTTTTGACACACGGTTGGCTATCACAACCTTCCATGTCGACGCATGCTTTTTCAACCAAGCGAGTGCAATCGTGGAATCTGTCCAGCAGATTATGCGGCTCATTTCTATGGGGAATGACCGTTTCACGTGCACTATGAGCTCGGAAAGTAACACAGCCCCATTCAATTCCAGGACGGGGATAGACTGTGTTTTTATCGGAGCCACTCGTGTCTTTGCCATGATTAATGTCGTAAACACGTCATTATTTTTCGTCGTCACACGTAAGTAAGTGACGGCCGAATAGGCAGCGAGTGATGCATCGCAGAATCCGTGTAGTTCCACAGTAACTGCGTCGGCTCCGTATTGGATCCATCTCGGGAATTTTAGTTCTTTGAGACTGCTCCAATCCCTGCAAAACGTGTTCCACGTTTTTTGCGTGTCCGTGGAAATTTGGTCGTCCCACTGGATTTTCTCCAGCCATTGGGACTGCATCAGAATTTTTGCACGGATTACGACTGGTGATAACCAGCCGAGGGGATCGAAGAGCTTCGCGATCTCCGAGAACAAATTTCTTTTTGTCATCGGTAACGCAGACGGTTGAAACCGTTGCAGATCGAAATGGAAGTAGTCTCCGGATGGGATCCATCGTAGACCAAGCACTTTCAGTTCGGAATCGTCGAACAGAGTGAGGTCTACGGCGTGGGAGTGAGCACCTTGGGGGATGTTCCGCAATAATTTCGCGGAGTTTCCAGCCCATTTCCTCAACTTGAACCCACCGCCCTGCAGGAGATCGCAGACTTGCTTGCGAATTTTCTCCAGCAGGGTTTTGTTGGACGCTCCCATAAATACGTCGTCGACGTATATGTCCCTCTCGAGGATCGGAGCGGCGAGAGGGTACCTCTCTCCATCCTGCTCCTTTAATTCGAGGAGGGTACGCATCGCTAAATATGGGGCGCACGCCGTACCGTATGTTACGGTATTCAATTCGAAAGCTTTGAGCTTTTCGTCGTTTGACGCGCGCCATACGATGCATTGGAAACGACGGTCCTGTGGGGCGACGAGGATTTGCCGAAACATCTTCTCGATATCTGCCACCAGAACGTACTCATACAGACGCCACCTCGTTAAAACCGAGGTGATATCGTTCTGTAATTTTGGTCCGACATGCAGGACGTCGTTTAGGGATCGCCCTCCGACCGTTCTGCTGGTTGCATTGAACACAACTCGCAGTTTGGTCGTTGCAATTTCCGTGCGTACGACCGCTCGATGCGGAATGTACAGTCGATTCTGGTCAATCGGCTCAAGCCGAGTCATGTGACCTAAGGACTCGTACTCCGCGAGGAACTCAGAGTATTCTCTGTCGAGGGTCGTATCCGCCTCCAGTTTACGCCTCATCCTCGCGAGAGCGGACAGCGCTATGTGGAACGAGTATCCTAACGCTTCGTCCGGTCTCGGGTGATTCAAGGGCAATCGGACTATAAACCGTCCGGTTTTGTCCCGTTCGACGGTTCTTCGGAAGAGTGCTTCGCACTCTTCTTCCGCCTTGGACCGCACCGAGGTCGTGGGGATTTCTTCGGTTTCCCAGAATCGTCGAATTGCGTAATCCAGCGATTCGAGAACGGTGCAATGCAGCGTTCTTACCGTATTCCGGCCGTCGCCTTCAGCGTGTATAGGGCCGGATATAACCCAGCCAAACGCCGTTTCTTGGGCGATCGGACCTTCATTCGCCCCTCGTCGGAAGCCCGAACGAATCACCTGAGCATATAAATCCGCTCCGATCAGAATTTCGATCGTAGGATCGGCCCTGGCTTCTGGATCGGCTAACGGTAAACCTCGGAACGCACTGTAAACACGCGCGTTCGCCGACGTGTTGCGGTAGGTCGTGATTTTCGGCACGACGTACGCTTGAGCGACACATATCGGTTTCGACTCGTTTATCGAGCCGAGGTTTAAACCGACGCTATATTTTATTTGCTGCGTCTGGCCGCCCCCCAAGCCCGATACCGTGGCTGGGGTACGCACGCGTTTCAATCGGAGGTCGTTTGCCAGACCTGCGGAGACGAATGACGTCTCCGATCCTTGGTCTAACAGTGCTCGCGCGATTCGCGATGCACCGTTCTCTCCGAACACGCGTACTCGTGCCGTGGCTAGCAGCACGGTCCTCGGTGCGCCTGTACCGAGCGCGGTACAGTGTGATGTCGAGGCCGATTTCTTGTAGGCCTTCGAAGTCGAAGGTTTTCCTTTCGGCTTCGATACGGCCGTACTTCGTGGATGAGCGTTGTAATCGCTCTCGTCACGTTGGCCGTATGCACTTTGCGCCTGCGGCCTCGGATTATTTTGTTCCCGCAGTCCATCATAGTGCAGGAGGGTATGATGCTTCCCCCTACACCGATGGCATACCTGGGGTCTCTGACATTGTGATGCCGTATGAGAAAATGCGAGGCATAGCGCACAGGCCATGCGGTTCTGCACGTAGTGGTGACGCATTTTTGGCGTCAGCACTTGAAAATTGGTGCATTGAGGCAGACTGTGTGCCCCAGTGCAGAATCCGCATACTGGCATCCGCATTTGTTTGGTTCGCCCGTCGTTTGCGGAACTTGAGCGTCTCGGGTTTGGGGCCGAGTCGGTTCCCATAACGACGTTATGGCTTGCCAGCGGCTTCGAAGCGACGCTTTTTGGTCGAGCGTCGATGGGCTTCGGCATGCGGGATTTGTTTCCGGGGCGAGAGCTGCCTCTCGACGGTCCTCTTTCATCGAAAGCAGAGCTTGCGCGTGATGATCGACGAAGATTCGGACATCCTCGAAC